GAACCCTTGGGAATTTTCCCTGTTTCAGCCTGCTTCCTACAAATATTATTGAGACCACAGGTCAGAAGGCCCAGTCCTTGTCCAACCATCATGAGGGTCTGTAGTTTACTCTCATAGCTGTAACTTCCTATGCAGGAGCCCAGGAACCCATTAAAACCCACCCTCCAGGTTTTGAAGCACAAGGCTATTTACTTTGCAAGAAAGCCTGTGCAGGGGTGGTAAACTGTTGATCTTGAACTTCTTTAACAAAAGAATGTGGCCACAGGTGTGTGGAATTTGGATTTAGATGTTTGGCTTTCTTGGGGACTCTAGAGCAGAGAATTGCCTTTGTCCAGGCTCTGCTGACTGACTGAGGAAAGTCCTTTTCCTTCCTTAGCCTCAGGCACCCCGGTGGTCAGACAGATAAAAAAAATGCAGGGTGAAGATGGTTAAATCAATCCCAGGTGTGAAGGCTTAGCTAGGTGCCTGCATCGAGGGGTCCTGTAGAAAGCATAGCCGTTGTATTGTGGGTATACGTCTGCCCAGGCCCTCTTAGCTGACGATGAGTCCACAGTGCACCCTTCACATTTTAATGTGGGAAGTCTAGGAAGAAAATTTATACAGAAGCCAGGAGAAGGGGCTCCAGGGCAAGGCCAACATCAGAAGTAGATCATTACTTTTCTTTCTGCTACCTAGGTTTCTGATTTTTGACCTCTCAGTTATAAGTTTAATGTTATATCATGCAGCTAAGATTACCATTATCATCAGCATCAGCATCACCACCATCATCATCACCATCACTGTCACCACCACCATCATCACTATCGCCACCATCACCATCATCACCATTACCATCATTATCATCACCATCACCATCAATATCACCATCATTATCACCATCACCATTATCATCATCACCGTCATCATCACCATCATCACCATCACCACTATCACCATCATCCCCATCATCATCGCTATCACCACCATCATCACCATCACCTATCACCATCACCATTATCATCATCACCATCACCATCACCATCATCACCATCACCACTATCACCATCATCACCATCACCATTATCATTGCCATCATCCCCATCATCATCACTATCACCACCATCATCACCATCACCATCACCACTGTCACCATCATCACCATCACCATCACCATCATCACCATCACCACTATCACCATCATCATCATCACCATTGTCATTAAAATCATCCCCATCATCATCACTATCACCACCATCATCACCATCACCACTGTCACC